AGGAATTTTCTGACATATGCAGTGCTAACCACATTAACTCAAGAACGAGAGCAATTCATTGTCCAAAATATTGAGGACTACTAGAGAAAGACCTGCATGAAAACTCTTTGTCATTGCTGAGAACAAACCAATGACAAGTATCTAAACCTATCTTACATAATATCATATAAGGAAGCTTTTTTTCTTCATCTGATTGTGAGGGCCATGCAGCAAATTCCAAACTTGATTTGCACAGTTCTGAAAATCAACTTAATTCAAGAGGACAAAGGGAGCATTTAGAGGGGCCAGATAACTGCAGAGCCGCTGAGGAGCATACACTCAGTAACTGAAGCTATGCACATCAACAATGCAACAAAGCCTTTGTTAGCGGCTCAGGATTCTCAGAATTCAGAATTATGGAGGAAGAGAATTATGACTGAATCTGACAGGTCGTCACCTCAAAAATAGCCCTTGACCTTATGTGACAGTCAAAATGATGCTGACCTTTCCCACAAAAATAAATAAATAAATAAGACCAGTATGAAACTAGTGACAGAATATACTACATAATTCAGAGATTTCTGATAAATTATAATTCTGTCATCATTTACTCACCCTAATGTTGAAACCTATGACTTCACTTTTCTTCTGTGGAACATAAATGATATTTTGGAGAATGCTGACTTGTTGTTGGCATTGAGTTTCATTGTACGTAGAAAAAAAAAAACACTGAGGAAAAAAATATTTTGTGTGTGTGTGTGTGTGTGTGTGTGTGTTTTTTTTTAATGAGGGAAAATTACTCTATGCACCATTAAAATTTAAGATCAAAATTGTCTCATAATATGTCTATCTCTATTTATCCTTGTATGGAATGTCACTCTGCTTTACAAGAATCAATAAATCATATCCATGCCTGGGAAGGGAATACGTATTGGTGAAAGGCAGCATGTGGAAATGACCAGAGCAATGTGTTTAATTGCATGAGTGGAGCACGTTTTCCACAGGAATCTGGTAATCACCTCGAAAACACACTAAGCTTTTCCTTAACAACATATTTCCCAAACTCTCCTTTTCCTAGCATGTGAGAAGCTACATAAACAATGTACAGCCTCTGTGATGAGAACTGATAGAATAAGAAAAGAGGGTAAAGTGAAGGGAATATCAAAGGTCCTGTCATTCAGTTCTGATCTATGACTGTACATATAGACAGGTCTGAGAAGCAAACCGCAAGTGCTATAACACTGAATGTCTTTCTGTTTCATAAACTCAAAAAAAAAAAAAAAAAAAAAAACTTTAACAACTCGATTTTTTTTTTCTGAAACAAAATGGGTCTATTATGACAATGAGATGATGTAACAAAATATAATGCAACTATGTACTATGTATGATGCAGACAGGTTCCCAAAATCACAACGTTTTCTCAGTAATATTTTAATGAACATTTTAGAAAAATACTATTTTCTATTTCCAAACATTTTGATAATGACTAAAATTTTCACATGGTGTAAGCAACCAGTAAAAAGTACTAAAATACTTTCCTTGCACCCTGAATACACAAGAACAAATATCATGAACTCTTGAGCTACGAATATCAAGGTTTTCTTAGGATTACCCCATTTGACTTGAAAAGAAAAACTTCATAAAGTTTAAAACATGGGACATTAAATAACTAAATAAATAATGAGGGTCTAAAGGGGTCTATAATCTGATTTATTTCTTGTCACATGACAAAAAATGGCTTCCTATATGTTGATCACATAACAGTCAAATATTAATAATATTTTGAATTAAAACTGATTCACTTAGTAGTACTAAGAGTGAGCTAATCTACTTAAGTCAACAGATACTTATGTCAAGATTTCCCACAATAATTTAGCTCTACAGGTACACCATAGACATTTTTGACATTAAGCTGTAGAAAAAAAACTACTAATATTTTGAAGAATTGAAAACACTGTAATAGAAGATGTTTAAATTAAAACATTAAAAAAAACTGCTCATACCTGACCTACACATAAAAAAGACTTGTTTGTTAATTCAATTAATTTATTTTAGAATTTTTTCTATCCTTTATGTTAATTTGAATTCTCATTTATATAGTTATTTATAGAGAAATACTTGTATTTCTACAGAACCGCTGGCCGCGCTGAACTGAGCTCTCTCAGCCGAACCCAGACCACACAACAAGCTGCTCCACATTTCATCACAACACCTTCCCCAAACCTCCGAATTGAATACCAAGAGACGTAACATTAGAAAGTTGCTTCAACTACTACATGCTCCACATAGTCTACTACAATATACTGCACACAATAACCCATGCTGTAAACATTTTGACAAACCGCAGACAAACAAAAGAGAAAGTGGGCTACTGCCACACACTTGTACTCACTTTTTGGGTGAAGCATCCAGTCACCCACAGAAGGCAGACTGTCAGGAACACCCCCGTGCTGCTCAGTCCGCGAAGCCCCATTTTAGTCACTTGAGCTCGGCTGCAGAAGCACGCAGGACTCCTCTCCCTCTCTCCATTGACCTGAGAGAGAGAGAGAGAGAGAGAGAGAGAGAGCACTGTTCGGATTGTTCACCCAAAAATGAAAATTGTGTCCTCATTTACTCACCCTCATGTTACTCCAAACCTGTATGTATTTCTTTCTTATGTGGAGCACAAAAGAAGATATTTTGAAGAATTTCATAACCAAACAGCTGTCTATCTATCTGTCTATCTATCTATCTGTCTGTCTGTCTATCTATCTATATCTATCTGTCTATCTATCTATCTGTCTGTCTATCTAGCTGTCTGTCTGTCTGTCTATCTATCTATCTGTCTGTCTGTCTATCTATCTATCTGTCTATCTATCTATCTATCTGTCTGTCTGTCTGTCATCTATTTTAAAACAATCTTAATCTTAAAACGATGAGAAATTACAAAGATGAGACCAAAATTCAGGTTAAAGTAAAGAATTCAAAAATATTTTCATCACAGATGTGTAATCAAGTCATTTTTATGTATTTTTAAGAATCCAAAACGAGCAGTACATACCAGATCTAGCAATCTAAAAAGCTTTAAGTTTTCAATAAAGACAATTGTATCTTTTTGGATTTATTCATTTATTTAATTTAAATGAATATTTAAAAAAATCTATCTATCTACCTACCATTTTTCAAAACAGAAGAAAAATAACGAAGATGAGACAACTGAATATGCAAGTTATATTTATTCAGTTTTTCCCCTTGATGAACAAAAATAATAGATGTACCTTGATATGAAACTACAATGTCTTCATTTCATCTGAGCGAAATACTTCATCACACAAGAGTCCCACAGTTGTTGTTGTTTGTTTGAACTGTACACTGGTTTCATTTGAACAGAAGGGACGCTGTGCCAGACAGCGGCAGTGAAGGACAGAGATGATGATGTGACCAAACACCGTCAAACATTCACAGAAATGGAGCCTAGCAAACTGTAAAGGCCTTTCCATGACCACATGAATTATTTACAGTTTCAAGGAGCTGTTTGACTTGGAAAAAGTATGATAATGACCCTTTTTACATGCACCAAAATAACGTTTGTACTCCGTCAGTGCTTGAGTGTCTGTAGTCCGTTAGACCCCTAAGGCAGATCTGTGAGGAAATCAATATGAATTCCTTGGAAAGTCATCTGATGAGCGGCAGAGGACTCCACATGCAGTGCATTTTCAGTCAGCAAGACATCTGGAAGATCCCCTGTCAAAGACGTCGATAGCATAAATCAACACTTCACTACAAAATCATCCTTATAAAATCGTTAGGTCTTTAATTATGAAACAGGCCACAGGGTGAAGTTTTTCTGTTAACAGGCATTTGCCACTTTCACCTGTGCTGTCCATTTAATTTCTTGAGAAAAGAATAATTACAGATGCCTTTTCAGCTGTTAACTACATAAATGCCTGTCACTTTATTTTTTTTTATTAGCATGTCTTGCACTAGCAGGGAAAATTTCACACTCTGTCTCTCTCTTAAAAAAAAAGTAATAGTTACCGAGCGATATTTATTTGCCCTCAAAAAGGACTATTTGCAACTACTTTTGAAAGTGAGAAGGGAAGGTGAGGCTTTAAACTTCCTCAAATTGAATGAAAGGAACATAAGAAGAAATTGACTTTGATATACACTTCTGTTCAAGTTTATGGCTTGTAAGATTTTCACGTTTTTCAAAGAAGTCTCTTATGCTCACCAAGGCTTTGTTTGTATTTGATCAAAACTACAGTAAAACAGTAATACTGTCAAATATTATTACAGTTTAAAGAAACTTTGACCAAAAAGAGTTTAAAAGAAATAGAAATGATAAATAGTATTTTTGTAACAATGTTATTTTATGGATGTAATATATGTATTTTTGTCTTTACTGTTTTTTTTTAAATAATTTCTTTAAAAAAAAAATCTTACTGTCCCCAAACTTTAACCGCAGTTAAAAAAAAACGTCATTATGTCTCTCAAATGGATCCAGCATTCAAAAAACTAGCATCTTCACTTCAACTTTCTTGCAGTTTCCCAAAAACGTTCTATAATAACATCTTAATCTTTCAACATTCATTCACTGAGAAAAAAATCTTAACAGAAAGTACTACTTTCAAATGGCAATGCATACTAATTAATTTGTACAAATAAATTATAAAAATATGCAAAAAAGAAACAGAAAATGAAAAAAATCCACTCAAACAAATCCAAACACGCACCCATTTGAATATCTGTAGAAAAAGTTAAATATACCAATCTTTTGAAAGTTGGGTTAAAAAAAATATATTATAAAAATTAAAGAAATTAAAATATTTGGGATGCAGCCATGAATTACCATTGTTATGCTTTTCTAATCTATTACAAATAAATGGAAATGGTAAAGCAATAAAACAACTTGGAGTTTGCGAAGATCGTGACTTTAGGTAAAAATATGGCTTTAACATGTGGCCAGTGCTGCTAATACATGGTGTGTTTCTGTTTACATATTTATATTTTTTCCCCACTATAAAATACTTTTTTTTAATATATATAAAGAAAAACAAAGTTTTAAAGAAAGTTTTAACAAACTGGTGATAACAACCAGTATCAGTATTTTTTTCCCCATTTTCTTTTTTCATTTTACATATACACATTTATGTTTATTTCTATGGCAGCTTATAGTTTTACATTAGAAAACGTGTAAATGACCACCATATCTGAAAAATAAAACTTCTGTTTCGTTTTTTTTAAAGTACACAAGTGCTGTTATGGTTTGTTTGGAACCTGATAGCTTAACAGAGAAATGCATTTGAGATGAAACCCTGATTATTAGATCAGCATAACGACAAAAACATAAAAGTGTTACTGGCGAGTTCATATACACTCACATTCAAGTGTGTGAAAGACCTGCATACTGAGCACATTTGCATTCAATATGCGAACTTTGATATTTTATATACAAACAACTGAACTGACACTGTACATATTCAGCCCTTAATGGTATATATATTTTAAATGTCCATTTTAAGCAATTAAACCATTATTTTCTGTTGTGTGCGATTTATATCCTGATGGCTGACACTTTAAAAACATACAACGCTTCTTTGACGAAGCACTCCTGTTATATTATACACTGGGTCACATGGAAAGTTGCTTGCCATCTCTTTAGCAAAGAAATGGCCAATGCAAAAACTTTTCCCATCAGAACTGTGTTTCTCCTGATCGGGCATTTGAATATTATTTAAAAAAAAACTGTGAAAAAAAAAGAGAAACTTGAGCACAAGTGTTGCCATGGCAGTGCTTCTCCTCACAGGCAGTGGCTCTTCAAGCTGTCCGTCAAACGGAAATCTCATATGTAGTCCCGCCCACTCCTGTGACCTTTTTGACATTGGCGTGTCTGCTGGGAGTTCCAGAAGGAGTCCCTAGATGGCAGTCACGTGCTTGGCCCTTTAGTTGCCCGTTGACTTTACCTTGACAGAGGCCCTCTCTATGTGGAGAAAATATCAAAAAACAGGAAGACATATTTGAAGTGGTTCCTTTCCAACTGTATCCTGAACTGTTATCCTTATCTGTCCTTCTTTAGAAAAAAAGAGATTCAAACGTACTACATGGACTGAAATGTTACAAATGAAGATGAGTTCATGAAGAAGAGGACAGTATTAAAGAGTGGTGGAAGGGATTGTATAATTGAGATAATAATACAGGACTCAAAAACAAGGAGTCAGTTTAGGGCCAGTTGACAAAACAGGCACTTGTCCACAAATTATGCCTTGCAAAGATGTTTTTTTTTTTTATGATACTGTATTTTCTTTTTATGCTATGTTTAAGCTTTCTTATGCTTTACTTGCATTTTGTTATCATTATGCTTTCTTTACCTTTTTTCTTCTCTTTTTTTTACAATTTGTGTAATTAAAAAATAAATGAATATTATTTCTGGTAAAAAAAATTTTTTAAATTTAAACATTGTAAAAAAATAAAATGGGTGATTCATTTTGATGGGATCTATAAGAATGTTGGCATGGAAAGTAAAAAAAAAATCCTTTCTGTTGAGCCCTGTAATAAATCATAATTTTAAAGACAATCATGCAGTCTGGTATTAGTCATTTGCCATTTGTAAAATAGTCAAAGAAAAGAGCAAAGAAAAATACAGTGTGTAAAATAATTAAAAAGCATTATTTAAGCATAATAAGCAACACAAACAGAACAAGAAGCGATAAATGGATATCAAATCATAATTATTGTATATTACACTGAATTCTGACACCATTTATGAAATTACAATAATGCAATAAAATGTACAGTATGCCAGAAGTACATGCCATGCAAAGTGTCATAAATAAGCTCATGAATGAAATGAAAATGGGGGGAAAGCAAAAAAAAAAAACCATTTATTTTGCTAACAGATACATAATCACAACATTTTTGTTTTCATCTCTGCAAAAAGGCAAAAAAAACCTAACCGTATATATTCTAAATAACAATAATGACAAAATTAATTTATTAAAGTACAAAAAAAGCAGTACTCAAAAATGAACAAATAAATGGAAATCACTTTTCTGAAGTCTCTTGACCCCGCCGGATCAGAGCGTACATATCAAGACCGTTTAGTCTATACATCACGTCCTTTTCTGATTGGTTTAAAGTGGATGCTATGTGTCATACCTTGTACCAAGATGCTGCGAGTCTGCCCTCTCCAGGGCGCTAATGAAGGCGACCTTCTGATGCACGTATGTCGGGGAACGGGGCACAGCTGTTGGGGAGTGGTGTGTTTGGTGCACCGGAGAGCGATACTGGCGCTCGACTGTCCGGCTCGCACCGCCTGCATCGGTGTGGAGGGACGTCGTGGAAGTCCTCGGCGCTCTGGAGAGCGAGGATGCAGAGGAACGCAGAACGGGTGTTCGGGGAGCGTATCCCACCACCCCGACTCCCATCAAGTTATCCCGAGAGCCGCACACAGGAGGAGTGGGCTCTCGGGATCCGTCGGGGAAGCATGTGCCAGGTGGGAGTCCGTAGGCGGCTCCGCTGCAGGTGTCAAATACACCCGAATCGTTGGCGTAGGCTTGAGCGTGCCGATGCATGAGCTTCTCCCTCTCCTCGAGCTCCTTCCTCTCCTGGATGGAAGCCATGATGGTTTTGGAGAGGTTGTCGTAGCGGACGGGCGAGGGATCTCGGTCTCTTGAGAGCGGCGACTGGTGCCCGTACATCGCTCCGACGTGCACAGGACTATAGGACGACGGGCCGATGTGCCGCTGAAGCTCGGGCCCTCGTACATGGCACATTTTAGTGGGCAGGTAAGGTGAATGAAAACCCATAGAGGGCACTCCTGGGTGAGCGGCGCACTCGCCCACAGACGGCGTTACGCTGGGGGTTAGCAAGCTGTCGTAGGATAGGCTGCCATTGCGGCCCGACAACGTCCCAGGTGAGAAGACTCCTTTGTGAGGGGTGGAAGTGACCGTTTCTGGTTTGCTGCCCCCCAGTGGCATCTGGTCGGCCCTGTTCACTCCCTGCTTCAGACTGAATGAACGAGACGTCGTGCTGAAGGAGTCCAGCTGGAAAGGGGAGGACTGGTATGTTCGGTGAAGAGGAGTGCCGCGGTAGTCTGGCATGTCCAGATTCGGCTCGGAGCGGTAATCGTGACCTCTCTCCTCCAAAACGGCAGAGGGCTTACCGTTCTCGGACATTACAATCTGTAATCAACAGCATTAAAAAAAAATATATTATAATATTTTATATTACATTATATTACACTATTGTTGTTTAAAAGTTTGGGGTGCACGAAAAAATACTACAGTAATTTATAGTAAATACTATAGTGTTTTTGAACCATACTATAGTAATATAAGTGTATTATACTCTATATATTATAGTATATACAATAGTATAATACAATAATATATTATAGTATTTACAACACTTTGTTAATGAATGCTACAGCATACTGTAGTATTAACTATAGTGAACTGACAAACTGTAATAAATACTGTAGTATACTTTAGTTTTTATTACAGTAAACTGTAGTGTATTGTAGTAATATACCCTATAGTTGTAGAAAACGTAGTACAGTATTGGGTAAAGTAATTTGTTTATATTACTGTAGTTGTAATATAGTCTATACAACTATAGAATTACCACAACAAATGAATTCAAGTACTTTACTATAGTATGGTTCAAAAACACTATAGTATTTACTATAAATTACTATAGTATTTTTTCATGTGGGTGAGTAACTTTTTTCAGGAAATTAATTCTTTAAACTTTCATTCAGCAAGGATGCATTAAATTGATCAAATGCATGACAATCAAGACATTGTTACAAGAGATTTCTGTCGTTTTTTTATTCATTTTTTTTTTTAAATATTTTTTTGTTTATTCATCAAAGAACCCCGAAAAGAAAAATATCAGTGTTTTCCACAAAAATATTTCAACACTGACACACAAAAAAACTATTCTTGTGGACCAAATCAGAATATTAGAATGATTTCTGAAGGATCATGTGACACTGAAGATTGGAGTAATTCTGTTTTGCCATCACAGAAATAAATTTCATTATAAAATATATAATAGTTGTTATTTTAACTGGTAATATTATTTCACAATATTACTGTTTTGACTGTATTTTTGATTAAATAAATGCAGAACTCTTATAGACCCAAACTTTTGAACAGCACTGTATATTATAATATATGACTCCAGAAATCATTGTTTTAGTCTGTCGCTCCCACCTTCTCTCCGGTTGCGTGATAGTGCACTTTAGGCATGGTGCCGAAGGAAGGTCGGTATTTGTACATGGCTGAAGTGGATGGATTGGTGGGTTTGCTGGACAGGGAACTCTCTAGAAAATGTGGCACAGATGAAATGAATGAGCCGACAGTGCTGCAATATGATGCAACACCAGATGGCAGTAGAAGTGCAGTTAAGAAACAACCTGCTAAGGGGCCACTGAAGACACAGGCTTTGAATAATTAGGAAAACTATTTTATTATAATCACATGATGTTTAAACAACAATTTATAATAATAAATCTCACAAAACAAATGTTTGAATACAGAGAGTAAATAATCACAGATACATAAATCGGTTACATTTTGGTGCCAATTGCTTTAAAATTCGTGTTTGTGTTACTTGCCTTCGCTGGAGGGGAGTTGACTCTTTAGCTGGTTGTAGCGATCTGCTTTGGGCGGCAGAGGTGGTTGTGTATCTATACTTTTATCATCCACACCATCCAGGCTGGTCTTAGACTAAAGCACAAGAGAAATCCATTTATTTTGGGAATCTTGATTTAGGCAGAAACACCATATTATTAAAACAGGGACACCATTTAGTTTAATAATGTCAGTTTTCATTGAAATCTGAATAATGAACCTGTATTGTTGGGGTTCTGAATTGCTGGTGTAATGGTAATTAGTATAATAACAGAAATGATTAAACGCCATTGAAATTCCAGGTTGTGGGCAGACAGAATTAAAAGCTTTTGCGGACTCACTTTGGTTCGTAGGATGCTACTATGGATACCATTATCACTGACTTTTACACTGACGTGTCGGTTAGAGAGGTCAGGGCGGAGGAACGGTGGTTTCAGAGTGATGGGAATTTTCTTCCTGGGATCAGCGATGTACCTGTAGAGCAGAAACAGTTGACATGATGCATGAATTACATTTTTTATTTTTTTAGAAAAAGCATGTAAGTTCATGGGTCAGAATTAGTGTGTACCACAACCACATGTAGGTTATCAAATGCTTAAAAACAGTTGACAAAATGACAACTGTGTCATCATTTACTCATGTTCATGTTGATTCAAAAACACATGACTGCTGAGGAACAAAAACGAGGAAATTCTGAAGAAAATTAATTATTACTTTTATCCAGCAATGATGCATTCTATTAATCAAAAGTGACAGACATTTTATATTGTTACCAAACATTTCTATTTAAATAAATTCTGATATTTTGAACTTTTTATTCATCAAAGAACCCTGAAAAAATATGTATCATATTTTTCACAAAAATATTAAGCAGCACAATCATTTTCAACATTACAAGAGATGTTTTCTGAGCACCAAATCAGCATATCAGAATGATTATTGATTGGGGGGGTGAACTATTCCTATAATTCTGATTTAAGGAATGATGTAAATAGTCTTGTGGGAAAAAGTTTACAGCAACTTTCTTTTGTTCTGCTTTGGCCTCACAAAGGTTGTCCTCTATTGTCTCTGAAGATGCCTTCACTAGTCTTAACAAGACATTAACCTTGGCTCTAATCTGTGTTTATACAGCAATCACTTTCTCTCTCCATTGTTTCATAACCTGATTCAAATCTTCAGTACTATACGCTTTTCCTGCTCAGAGTGTCATAAAACAGGCAAAAACAGGACACAATCTACCTTCCTAAGGACCCATATTCTTCTTCTCAAACCCCTCCAGACTGTCTACTATGATAAACAACCTCTTTTTTCACCTCTGTCTGCTGTTTAGAAGTATCACAGTAATTGTTAAAGGCTTAAAGGCTGTTATATTTCAAACCATATTTTCTTCTTGAAGCATTGAGTTTATACACACACACACACACACACACACACACACACACATATATATATATACTGTATATATATGTGAATGTGACCGTGGACCACAAACCCAGTCATAAGGGTCAATTTTGAATTTTTTGAAGCTGAATAAATAAGCTTTCCATTGATGTATGGTTTGTTATGATAGGACAATATTTGGCCGAGATACAACTATTTGAAAATCTGGAATCTGAGGGTGCAAGAAAAAAAAATGCTAAATATTGAGAAAATCACCTTTAAAGTTGTCCAAATGATGTTCTTAGCAATGCATATTACTAATCAAAAATGAAGTTTTAATATATTTACGGTAGGAAATTTACAAAATATCTTCATGGAACATGATCTTTACTTAATAGCATAATGATTTTTGGCATTAAACAAAAAAAGGATAATTTTGACCCATACAATGTTCTAACATTGTTATAACTTTTCTGACTTCGAGAGCCATTGTAGGGCTCCAGAGCAACATTTGAGGACACCAGCACCAGTGCCATTAACATCTACAGAAGGTGGCACCAGCACCTGACAGTAAAGCACTCACCCTAATCACACTTGTACATCTCGGAGATGTCTATCTGATGTCAGCATTTACATATGCAAGATGTATTTTTAGAGTGTTTGCTCATCTGCAATACATCTCTAAGATGTTTCCTGTCAAATAGACATTTATTAGAATGCATTCTGAGACGTTTATCAGATTACCCAGCAGATGTTTCCCAGATCTTTAGCAGACGTCTTACAGATATACTTGTGCTGTCTGGATAGTTGAGATGCAGATAAAATTTACTTTTATTACTGTCATTCATAATGTCTAAATATAATTTAATAAATACAAAAAATATATATTAGAGAGTGGAAATGGCTAATAAGCCTAGAAGTACTTCTCTGCAGCCATCTACTAGTGGTAATTTAATGTCTTTTTTTATTTTTAAATAAGTGTTTGCTTTCCTACATTATGAAACTTTTAGTTTTATAAATGGGGGCAACTTATGAAGGATGAACAAATAATGTCACCACATTAAAAATAACTTTCAAATTCGGTAATACTTAAAGCTTTGAAGTGCTGGGAAAAGTTTTGTGAATCATTTAAAAACACTCGAAAACATTCGACCATTTCTGCCACAAGTTGTTCTTGTAGTTTTACTATGTTAAATCCATGGTGAATGATGGTGACTTGTGTTTATTGAATGTTTTTCCTGGTTTCCACGTTAGTGGCGTTTGTTCTGATATCTGTAGCTTTAACAGAATTCTGCGACGAATTTGAATGCTTCTCACGAGATTTCACAGGGATGTTATTGATTCTGCGGTGAATTCAACGGCTTTCTTCACTGTATCTCCCAGCGCTGTGTATAACGGTGTCGTGTGATCGAGATCAGATATACCGCGCAGATAAATGAGTAGCGCGGATTCGTTCCGCTTTCGGTTCATTTGTTTGTTGTTGTTTTTTAGGATTACTGATAAACTAATGTACTTTGATTTGTATTAGTTATCTATTTTAGTTTTAGTTACAGTTGTAGTAATGTTGTCATTTTATGAGTTTTTTATTATGTCTATATAGGCTTTTTATTAAGTTTTAGTTGTATTTAATTTGAGTTATTTCAGTACTTCAACATACAAAATGGAAATGAAATAATATATATATATTGAATGTATTTATATATATATGTACATGTATATGTATAGACCCCCTTAAATTTTTCAAAGCGTCTGCTAAATGACTAAAAGTAAAAGTAAAGTAAAGTTTGTCCAATATAGCTCTTGCGAGCTCTTGCGAAAATTGCGGAGTTGCTTGATTTTGCGATAAATTCAGCGATCGCAGAATCGCAAAATCCTGGAGGGACTGAATATATATATATATATATATATATATATATATATACACACATACATACTTGCAATCTCCAGACCTGCTTCCATTTAGTTATTCAGTACTCACAATCCAATCAACAACTGATGAATAAAATTAAGTCATTCCCTACATTTGTCTTGTTCAATAAGCTGGTAAGTTGTTTATCTTGGAAGTACATTACTGTTAAAAACATTTGGGATCAGTAAGAAGTTTTAATGTTTTTGAAAAAACTCTTATGCTCACCAAGGCTGCATTTATTTGATTAAAAACAGTAAAAACTGCTATACCATTATAATTCAAAATCACTGTTTTCTATTCAACTACATTGAATATGGTATAAAATACGGTAAAATAACCTCCATGACTACTGATGATATAGTTGTTTTTTTCCTTGAATCCATGGAAAACAGCAGCAGACACTGGACATATCAGGTATGGTTTACATGTTTCAACATTTGAACAGGATCTGTTTCAGCAATGACACAACGGTGTGCTACTGTTTAAGTCTCCGTGTTTAGATCAGTGTGCTCAATAATGTGTCTTTGACCTTCACTGTGTATTTTGATTATACTGTGTTGTAAATAAAACACAAATACAAACCCCCAATTTTTTACTCCTCACATTCTTTGTTACCTGCCTCACAGAGACATTACTGACTGATGCCTCATTATGGGAGGCCCTTTGTCTCTCAGGTGTGAATCACTAAATATTCATGCCATTGTCACTCCCTCGCATACGGGCATTCAGTATCTGATAACAAATGTTCTGTATGTGTTTTAGGACCTTATTTCAGTGACTTTTAGTTTTTAGTTTTTTACTAACCACGCATAAACGTTGTTTTCTCAAGAACACAAACATGTACATTCATGCTGCTCACATACTATTGTAGCCCAGTTTGTGAGAATTAAAGTGTAATTAGACTTTAGCCATTAATATGTTTTTAAGATACTGAAAAAAACACAAATGTCAGGGCATGTCAAAACTTCTTCAGTGCCCCCTCAGACACCAGAGGGTTAATATATTTTTATATGAAATGCAATTTATTCCTCTGATGGCAATGGTTAAGTTTCAGCCGCCATTACTGCGGGTGTCACATGATCCTTCATATATAATGCTGATTTGCTGCTCAACAAAATTTCTTCTTATTATCAATGTTGAAAACAGTTATGCTGCTTCATATTTTGTGCATACTGAGATTCTTATTAGAAAGTTCAAAAGAACACAATTTATTTGAAACTGATAAATAAATTAATTAATGTATGTCTCCATATGGGCATCAGCTGCAATTGCCATTCTTTTCTAATTTTGCTCAAAGACAGCGTGAGGTTGGTACTTCATAGGTCTTTTGTAGCATTTGCCAAAGCGTAATGTTCACTGAATCCTGTCTGTTTTGCAAATGTAAAATAACACAATCTAATGTAAATTCAAGTGAAATGAAACACCCAACCGTCTGTTCCAAAATGAGCGAAAGATAGCTGTCAAGTGCCGGGAACCAGCTGTCAGGGGCCGAGGAAACACACCGTGCCTGGTGTTACGACTCACTTTCACACATTTCTGATATGTGTGTGTATTTGCAACTATCACTGATTATAAACATGAATATATGTGTGTGTGTGTGTGTGTGCGCGCGTTTTTGTGACTAATGAGGACATACATTTGTATAATGACAAGGTGTGTGTGTGTGTGTGTGTGTGTGTGTGTGTAAGCCAGTTTTTTCTTTACCTAGGAGCAAGTGGACTGCATAAGACGTGTTTCACATTACCACAGCAATCCCGAGTGAATGGATTCACTCCTCCTCGGAACTTTCCTGTCACCTGAGAACAGAGAGAGAGAGAGAGGGGAATCCTACTTACTGCAAACTGAAGAGAGTGGAAAACAACTGTCCTTGACCGACAGAACCGTGATGTGCGATGACAATACCAGGTTTTGTAACAGATGTCGTGCACGAACAACAGAAGGCAATCAAGTTGGAAAGACATCAAGGTGATTCTGAGTGGGTGTGCAACATGTGACCACAATTCTGCCTCTACAAGTGCGCATGTTGTTACACAAACCAGATTAAAATTTTAAGTGCTGTGTAATTTGGTTCACCTGTTCGTTTGTGGTCCGTCCTCTGGCTAGAGGGAGAGAGAGAGAGAGAGAGAGGAATCCTTCTTTGAGCAAACTGAAGAGAGTGGAAAACAACTGTCCTTGACCCACAGGACCGTGATGTGCGATGAAAATACCAGGATTTGTAACAGATGTCGTGCACGAACAACAGAAGGCAATCAAGTTGGAAAGACATCAAGGTGATTCTGAGTGGAGCACAGTTCTGCCTCTACAAGTGCGCATGCTGTTACACAAACCAGATGAACATATTTAGTGGTGGGTAATTTGGTTCACCTGTTCGTTTGTGGTTCGTCCTCTGGCTACGAGAACCATGTGGAACCCAGTGAGGCCCATAACAGGGATGAAAAACAGGCCAGTCACACACATAACCACAAGACTGGACAGCAGGAAAGTCAAGGAGCCTGTTGTGATTTTCTTTCTGTCCTCGCTGAATGAGAAATGCTGCACGAAGATACAGCTAATTAGAAGTAGTGCAGGATTTTGAGCCAATGTGATCTCACTGTGGGCGGGGCCTCCCTGTCTAACAAACAGTGTTGTTATTGTTAATTAAAACTATTAAACATCTGAAATAAAATAAAATACAAATATTAGATATTAGACTAAAAGAAAATTTAAATTTGAAATTTTGCCTTGCCAATTGACTGAAATAAGTTGAATCTAAAATACTAAAATTACTAAAACTTTAAACTGAAATAAAAATAAAGTTACACAGAAATATTTAAAAGAAACTCAAATTTTTTTTAAACCAAATTAAAAATTTGAAATAAAATTAAATAAAAATATTAGATATTAGACTAAAAGAAAATTAGAAATGTTGCCTTGGCAATTAACTGAAATAAGTTGAAGCTAAAGTACTAAAATTACTAAAATTTCAAAAACTAAAAATTAAAAAAAGACAAAAGCACAAAAATTTGCTAAAACTACAAATATAAAAATAAAATCTAATTTAAAATATGAATAAATACTATAGTAGTAAATCATAATTACAATAAATAATATAATAAGACAATGTGACAATGAAAATCTCACAAAATGCTGTTGACGGTCACGCCTGCTCAAGAGAAAAATTCAGCTTAAAAAAAATCCTTTCATTCTTTCATCAGATTTCTTGAATTGCCAAAATCGAGTTTTCATAGGGGGACAAAAAACAAAACAAACAACAACAAAAAACATTTGTTATTTTGTAGGCTAAACTAAAATGTATGATTTCGTTGTAGTCAGATGTTATTGTTGCTTTGATACGCTATCGAAAAGTATTTATTTGGAATAGAAATCATCTGTAACATTATTAAAGTCTTCATTGTCATTACACTTGCTCAATAAAAATAGCCATTTCTTTAAAAAAAGAATCTTACTTTTGAACGGTAGTGTAAATCCACATAGAATAGCCTAAATACAACTACAGTAAATGAGCTTTTATTATAGTTGCTATCTGTTATTTCTAGGGATGCACCGAATTTTTGGCCGCCGAAAATTATCAGCCGAAAACGGCATTTTTGGTTTTTAGCCGAAAGAGAAAAACGGCCGAAAATATACATATAATAATATATATGCCCGGCAGTGTTCAGCACGCATGTTTCACTCTCCTCGTCACTGCACGGTTTGACGCTCCGCTCAGTATTGCGCTCTATGAATGTGCACGTATACCGCTCATGCTCACCGGAAAAGCAAAGTCCGCTCAAATAACGCGCTGACAGGAAATTTCTATGCAGTATACTTGTTCCTGTTTGCAGTAGCGCTACTGTGCTGTAACATGCTGTAGTACAGCTGTACTGGACAACGCTGGTAAAATGACACTACCTTCAGTGACGCTATGCTCTGCTCAGCTATGCTCTGCTCA